ATTAAACCTTCTTTCACAACATTAATTTTAATGGCTATAAAGGGCTTCAGGGTATGGTTGAGCAATACTTTATATAAGCCCTGGAAGCCTTTTCTCTGTCTCACACACACTGTGTATGTTTAGGATCCAAGCAGAAGGAACACGCGTGTTACTCCCCTCCTCTCCATTACCTGGTGTAGGCACTGAGCTGCTGAATAATGAAACTAAAAAGAACTTTCCTAATAAACATGCACACTGACTTTCTTAATCACAGAGGAAAACATTTAAATTGATTTAAAAGAACACTTCTAATTCATTTTCTGCATACCAACACTAGCAAGCAGGTGGTCTATGAGTTCCTACCCTTTTGTGTATCAACGCAGCTGAAACTCCCCCTGTACCCACTTTTAATAAGAAATTGCATGTTCAATGAAGTCAAATTAAATCAGAACATACTTTACATATTATTCCTCAGTAAGAACATATGAAACTTTAAAAAATATACATAAAAAAGAGGGAGAATAAGGACACATATAAACTATAGGAAGGATGCAGGGGATAAGAGTATGCAAAACAAGTCTGTCTCATCCCCCGCATTCTCCCTATAGTTTATATGTGTCTTCATACTCCCTATTATGTGCATATTTTTTTAAAGTTTCAAATGTTCTTACTGGGGAATGATGAGAGTATACAAGAATGATGAGCGTGTATAAAACAAATCTAAGTTTCATATACTAAGGAGCTATGGTAACGTAGTGGTTACAAGTTGCTAAATTCAAGGTAGGCACTACCAATTGTTCCATGGAAGAAAGATGAGGCTTTCTGCTTCCCTAAGGATTTACAGTCTCAGAAACACTATTCAGGGTTGCTATGTGTCGGAACCAACTCCACAGCACATAACCACCACCGAGTCTTATACTGGAGTCCTGGGGAGGTGCTATAGGGTCAGCAGTGAACTGTGAACCACAAGGTCAGTAGTTCAAACTCACCAGCCACTCCTTGGAAACCCTATAGAGGGTTGTTAAGAGTTGGAACCGACTAGATGACACTTAACAACAAGTTTTATACCACACCTTTTAATCAATATTGTGAAAGAATCCAATCTCATGTGTGAAGGAAAAATTCAACTATTTCTGTCTATGCTTTGCCTCTCAATGGGTTCTTGTAAAATTGATGACTATCAATACTGTAGCTTCCATTCCAACAGCAAGCAGACCCCTCTGAGAAGTCGTACAGTTATAGCCTCCACTGCTTTCTCAGTGCTGGGGGTTTCTGATAACACTTCATTTGGTTGTCAAGCAAATGCTGGGATGCTCCCTGAGCTAAAGGCACTGTGCTGCCCCTTTCTACCCAGTCCTTTCTACTCTGTGTCTCTTGCTCCTGGCTTCTCACCAATTGCCTCAAAGCATGTGTCTTCAATGCCATTTTGGGACGATCAACATTGCTCTGTAAGATGCAGAAAAGATCACTTATATTATCTAAGGCATAAATCAACTTACATATCCTTTGCAGACATTGAATAAGCCACTTGTCACTTCCCCTAAGAAGTAAGATGTGGAGGACCCACAGGTCTGCTCAGTCAGAAAAGACAGCAGAATATAATCATCATCTTCATCTGGTAAGCAGACATTTCCTCTTAATGTCCCATTGCCTCAAATTTAAAACCGTATCTCCCCAAGCCATCTCCCCCCCCCTTCCTGATTTCCATATTATATGCTGAATAAAACAACACTGCCATTCTCCCACGATCCTCAGTTCAGAAGCACTCCAATCTCTTTGATTATTCCTCTTCCTTACCTCCACTGGACCTGCACATCCAGCCACCAACTCACCAAGCCCTATTTTCTCCCTCTTCACAATATCTCTTCCATTAGCTTGTTTCTTTCAGCTTCCTCTGCCAATATTCTAGTTCAAAACCATATCATTCAACATCTAAATATATCAGCAGCCTCTTAATCCATTTCCCCACCCCTCAGTCCTATGGGCATCTACTTTGATCCTATCTCTTCCCAGTCAGAAACCAAGATGGATATACAATTAAATCTAATGTCTCCATCCAGTACCCAAGGTACTCCATTGTTCCAGCTGAGTTATTAGCAAAACTGGTCTGTTCTACCCCATGGTCAGGTTTCCACACCACTCCTAACAACTTTTCCTGTATTTGAGACATCCATCCTTCCCTTTCTTATTCTTCTCTTCCATGAGTTCTATTCTTACATGAGTATGCAGCTGAAACCCAGCCTCTGAATTTCCACAATGCCTACAGAAAAGCTACCTATCTCTCTCCTCTACATTCTCATTCATTCAAAAAATATTTATTGAATTCCACAATCTATACGATGTGTCAGGTACTAAACTAGTTGCTGAGTATGTGGGATAGAGAAACAAGAGACATGTTTTTATGTTTTTCTCTCTGTGTTAAGTCATATCTGCAAATCAAGTGTAAATCATTGAGGGACTATCTCAATCCTTTTCTTTTTCTTTTTTTTTTATTAATTTTCCAGAGCACCTAACATTACCGGGCATGTAGCAAATGCCCAGTAAATGTTAACTGATTGATTTTTTGATTGTTGGTTACAGAATCAAACTTATCCCCCACACACTCCTTACCCGTCTATGACAGCACTTGTTCCAAAGAACACATACAAGTTAACAGGCTCATATCTCAAGGAGTAAGCAGGAATAAGTACTGGAATGCTAACCATAAGGGTGGTGGTTCAAATCCACCAATCACTCCTTGAAAACTCTATGAGTCGGAACCAACTCAATGGTACTTAACAACAACAATTTTCATTTGCACTGTGTTCCAAAAAACAATGGGCTAACTTGCCACTAGACCAAGAGAAACCATATATTTCCCATAAAATGAACAGTTTGCCTTAGGCACTGGAAGTACTTAGAGAAATCTTTCCCATGCACAACAACAAAAGGCACTCACATTAATGATAACAGGAGACAGTGTAGGTAGTCTTTGCCTTTATATGACTAGGCAACAAAGGGGTTTGTAAAGGGTTTAGTACAAATTCCCACTCAATACCTTTTATACTCCTAGTAAGGAGCCCTAGTGGCACAGTGTGGTTCAAGAACTCAGCTGCTAACTGAAAGGTTAATGGTTCAAACCTGCTAGTTGCTCCGCAGGAAAATGAGGCAGTCTGCTTCCACCAAAATTTATAACGTTGGAAACCCTATGGGGCAGTTCTCCTCTGTCCTACAGGGTGGTCACTTTGAGTTGGAATCCACTTGACAGCAACGAGTTGGACTTTTCTATTTATGGTCCTCAAGGACTCATAAATAAAAGGTTATGATCTTTTCATCTCATAAATTTAGGATTTCTACAAAGATCACTCAAGCATCCAAAGTATGCATCAATTCAGCAAATATTTGCTGAAAACCAAGAGGCAACACACTTCAAAAGAGAAAGCACAGGCTCTGAAGTAAGAAAAGTTGGGTTTGATTTCTGGATTTATCACAAACTAGTTACTGCTCAGGTATGGTTTCTTTCTCTGTAAAACAAGGGTAGGACCACCTACTTCACAGGGTCGTTCTGGGGATTCAGTGAGATAATGCATGTAAAACACATGGCGAAGAGTAGATGTTGAGTAACTGGAAAGCTGTTGTTATGGTAAAGGAGAGCCCCATGAAGCAGTGGTAGATGTAGACCCAGGTATCATGCTTATTAGCCTTGCTGTATACCCACCAAGGAAGACCTTCACTTAGTGAATATACATACAAAACTGGCTTATAATTTGGAATACCAATCTGTTATAAAAGTCTCTTCTTGCTGTTGAGTTACTTCCAACTCATACCAACCTTGTTTAGGGTTTCCTAAAAGTGGCTGGTGGGTTTGAACTGACAACCTTGAGATTAGCAGTCTAGTGCTTCTCCTACAGCACCACACCAGGACCCCATAAAAGTCTAAGCAATGTGAAAATTGGCTAACATCAAAAGCAACATCAATCCCAAAGGATTTCGTAAATAAAATATCCATCTCCTATCACCCTCGTGTCATAGTTGCTTGCTGTTCTCAACAACTGAAACTGCTTTCAGGAGGTGTAACTCAGTGGTAAAACATTTGACTAAAATGAACACGGCTTTACCTATTTTGTCTTGAGTTGAAGTCACTACTGTGGCTAAAACCAGTGTGTGCTCTTTAAGAAAAGTACTGCCAGAAATGCAACACCAGTGTAAGAATTCAGCTCCCTTTAGGGCCACTATGAAAAGAATGAACACCTAGTACATGGTACACACAAATGTTTGCTGAACTTAATAGTGAGTCCCAGTCACAACAGACCTGTACTTTTAGTGTAATGTAAGATGTGGGAGGACAATGTCATAAATGTTACTACCAGTAATTGTAACCACCATTCATGGGCCAGTTTGTCATATTATGGTGATTTGCATGTTGCTGTGATTCTGGAACCAATATGCCACCAGTATTTTAAATACAAGCAGGGTCACCCATGGTGAACAAGTTTCAGCTGAGATTCCAGACTAAGACAAGGAAGAAGGAAAGATGGACTACTTCCAAATATTTAGTCACTGAAAACCTTATAAATAACAGTGGAACACTGTCAGAGGGCAGCAGAATATTGACTATTGAAACATAAAGAAGAGCACCAGAATACTGTCAGAAATAGTACCAGAAGATGAGCCCCTCAGGTTAGAAGGCACTCAAAATGCGACTGGGAAAGAGCTGCTTCCTAAAAGTGGAGTTGACTGGGACGATGAGTGGAGTAAAGCCTTTGGATTTTCATTTGCTGATGGGGCAAAACGCAAAATGAAGAGAAACAGCTGTAAATATCCATTAATCAAAATATGGAATGTACAAAGTATAAATCTGGAAACTTGGAAACTGTCAAAAATGAAATGGAATGCATAAACATCGATATCCTGGGCATTAGTGAGCTGAAATGAATTGGTATTGGCCATTTTGAATCTGACAACCACATGGTTACTATGACGGAATGACAAATTGAAGAGGAAAGTTGTTGCATTCATTGTCAAAAAGAACATATCTCTTTTTCGTGACGCCGAGGAGGCCGTCGGCTGCTTCACTATGAAGCTGAACATCTCCTTCCCAGCCACTGGCTGCCAAAAACTCATTGAAGTGGACAATGAACGCAAGCTTCGTACCTTTTATGAGAAACGAATGGCCACAGAAGTTGCTGCTGACTCGCTGGGTGACGAGTGGAAGGGTTATGTTGTCCGCATCAGTGGTGGGAACGACAAGCAGGGTTTTCCCATGAAGCAGGGCGTCTTGACCCATGGCCATGTCCGCCTGCTTCTGAGTAAGGGGCATTCCTGTTACAGACCAAGGAGAACTGGAGAAAGAAAGCGTAAATCTGTCCGGGGTTGCATTGTGGATGCCAACTTGAGTGTTCTCAACTTGGTCATTGTTAAAAAAGGAGAGAAAGATATCCCAGGACTGACAGATACCACTGTGCCTCGTCGTCTGGGGCCCAAGAGAGCTAGCAGAATCCGCAAACTTTTCAGTCTCTCCAAAGAAGATGATGTCCGCCAGTATGTTGTGAGAAAGCCACTCAACAAAGAAGGCAAGAAACCCAGGACCAAAGCACCCAAGATTCAGCGTCTTGTTACTCCACGTGTCCTGCAACACAAACGTTGGCGTATTGCTCTGAAGAAACAACGCACTAAGAAAAATAAGGAGGAGGCTGCAGAATATGCCAAGCTTTTGGCCAAGAGGATGAAGGAGGCCAAAGAAAAACGTCAGGAACAGATTGCCAAGAGACGTAGGCTGTCCTCACTGAGAGTTTCTACCTCCAAGTCGGAATCCAGTCAAAAATAAGAAATTTCTATGTGTGACAAATAAATACGCTCATATTAAATCTAAAAAAAAAAGAACATATCAAGATCAATCATGAAGTACAATGCTGTCTATGATAGGATAATATCCATGTACCTACAGGGAAGACCAGTTAATATCACTATTATTCAAATTTACCAACCACTAAAGCCAGTGAGGATGAAATAAAAGAATTCTACCAACTTCTTTAGTCTGACAATGATTAAACATGCAATCACGATGTATTGATAATCACTGGCGATTGGAATGCAAACATTGGAAACAAAGAGGAAGGATCAGTAGTTGGAAAATATGGCCTTGGTGATAAAAATGATGTTGAGATCCTATGACAGAATTTTGAGAGACCAATGACTTCTTCATTACAAATACCTTTTTAAACAACGTAAAAGACTATACACATGGACCTCAAGTGGAATATATAGAAATCAAATTGACTACATCTGCGGAAAGAGACGGTGAAAAAGCTCTATATCATCATCCAAAACAAGGCCAAGAGCAGACTGTGAAACAGACCATTGATTTCTCACATGCAAGTTCAGATTGAAGCTGAAGAAAATGAAAACAAGTCCATGAGAGTCAAAATGTGACCTTGATCATATCCCACTTGAATTTAGAGATTGTCTGAAGAACAGATTTGATGCATTAGACACTAAAGACCAAAGACCAGAAGAGTTGTGGGATGACAGCAGGAATATCATATAGGAAGAAAGCAAAGGGTCATTAAGAAGACAAGAAAGTAGGAAAAGACCAAAATAGATGTCAGAAGAGACTCAAGCTTGCTGTCCACCACAGAGATGCTAAATCAAATGAAAGAAATGAGGAGGTTAAAAAAACTGAACAGAAAATTTAAAAGGTCAGATCGAGAAGACAAAGTCAAATACTATAATGAAATGTGCTAAAAAGACCTGGAGTTAGAAAACCCAAAGGAGAAGAACATGCTCAACATTTCTCAAGCAAAAGGAACTGAAGAAAAAATTAAAGCTTCCATTTGCAGTACTGAAGAATTCTATGGGCAAAACACTGGGATGATGCAGAAAGTATCAAAAGAAGGTGGAAGGAATACACAGTCATTGTACCAAAAGAAATGGTCGATGTTCAACCATCTCAAGAGGTAGCACATGGTCAAGAACCCGTGATACTAAAGGAAAAAGTTCAAGGCAAACTGAAGGTATTGACAAAGAACAAGGTTCTGGAAATTGATGGAATACAATTTGAAATATTTCAACAAACTACTGCAACACTGGAGGCACTCCCTCACCTATGCCAAGAAATTTGGAAGACAACTACCTGGCTAACTGACTGGAAGATACCCATATCTGTGCCCATTCCAAAGAGAGATGGCCCAATGGAATGTGGAAATCATCAGACAATATCATTAATATAGCATGCAAGTAAAATTTTGCTAAAGATAATTCAAAAATGGCTGCAACTGTACATTGATAAGAGAACTCCCAAAGGTTCAAGCCAGATTCAGAAGAGAACATGGAAAGAGGGATATCACTGCTGATGTCAGATGAATCTTGGCTGAAAGCAGAGAATACCAGAAAGATGTTTACCTGTGCTTTATTAACTACACAAAGGCTTTCGATTGTGTGGATCATGACAAGCTATGAACAACATTGCAAAGAAAGAGTATTCCAGAACACTTAACTGTGCTTGTGAGGAACCTGTACATAGATTAAGCGGCAGTTGTTTGAACAGAACAAGGGAACACTGAATGGCTTAAAATAGGAAAGGTGTGCATCAGGGTTGTATTCTTTCACCATACTTACTCAATATGTACTAGGCATTCGAAAGAATGCTGAGTACATAATCTGAGAAACTGGAAATATGAAGAAGAACATGGCATCAGGATAGAAGACTCATTAATAACCTGCGATATGCAGATGAAACAATCTTGCCTGCTGAAAGCAAGAGGACTTAAAATACTTACAGATGAAGATTAAAGACCACAGTCTTCAGTATGGGTTGCATCTCAATGTAAAGGAAACAAAAGTTCTCACCACTGGACCAATTAACAACATCCATATAAATGAAGAAAAGATTGAAATTATCCAAGACTTCATTTTGTTCAGATCAACCATCAACACTCATGGAAGCAGCAGCCAATAAATCAAATAATGTATTACATTAGGCAAATCTACTGCACAAGATCTCTTTAAAGTGTTCACAAAGCTTTCAGTTTAAGGACTAAGGTATGCCTGACCTAAGTCATGATATTTTCAATAACCTCATATGCATGTGAAAGTTGGGACAGTGACTAAAGAAGACTGTAGAAGAATTTATGCATTTGAGCTACGGTGTTGGAGGAGAACATTGGAAGTACTAAAGACTGCCAAAAGAACCAAACCAGTCTGTGTTGGAAGTACAGCCAGAATGCTCCTTGAAAGCCACAATGGCTAAACTTTGTCTCTCGAGAAGGACATCATGCTTGGTAAAGTGGAAGGTTGGAGAAAACGAGGAAGACCCCCAAAAGATGGATTGGCACAGTGGCAGCAGGAATGGTTTTGAGGATAGCAACAATTGTGAGGTTGGTCCAGGACCGGGCAGTGTTTCGTTCTGTTGCACATAGGGTCACTATAAGTCAGTCCTGACTCGATGGCATCTCACAACAAGAAGCAAGAATAATAGTTTTCAGGACCAGGGAACAAAATGGATTAACTGTCCAGTTTCTTTTTCTCCTGCAAACAAAGAGCACCTGGAAAGAAAGTATTGAAACGGATGCTGGTATTCACTCTCAAACATGTGTCTTTGGAAACGTCACCCTTTTTTCCTCCAGTCTTAGGAAGTCTGTACATATTTGAGTTGTGTGGGTTTCAAGTTCATACAGGAAGTGCTATTCTTCAGCATCTTGGTAAAAGTAGTAGCTTCCCTCCCAAGACAATGTTGTTGTTGTTAGGTGCCATTGAGTCGGCACCAACTCATAGCCACCTTATGCACAGCAGAACGAAACAATGTCCAATCCTGGCCCAACCTCACTACTGTTGCCACACTTGAGTCCATCGATGCTGCCACCTGGCCAATCCATCTCGTTGGAGGTCTTCTTTTTCTCTGACCCTCCACCTTACCAAACATGATGATATCCTCCAGCGACTGGTCCCACCTGACAATATGTTCAAAGTATGAGAGATGAAGTTTGGCCATCTTGGCCTCTAAGAAGCACTCTGGCTGCACTTCTTCCAAAACAAATCTATTGGTTCTTTTGGCAGCCCATGGCACTTTTAGTATTCTCCCTCCAGCACCATAATTCAAAGGCATCAAGAAGATACTACATTTAAATGCATTGGTGCTCAAATCCCATTGAAGAACAGAGAGAATTATGAAACAAAGAAATATGAAGGGCCAACCTAGTCTTAAGATGCAAGAGTCGAGCATTTTCTGACTTTCTGAACAGTGGCAATTATTACTTCCATAACCCCATGTAGCAGAATCTGAGAAGCACAGGGAAAGCTGAAAAGGCTGCACATGACCTTACTAGAATTTCAAGCTTACTTACACATGTTACTTAGAGCCAGTACCTGGGCTTCTAATCTCTCACAAGTCTCCTATAAATCAGCAAGTGAGACAAGCACTGCAAATCGTATAATTTCTCATGAGCACAGGCCTTGGTTATGTTGCTAGATTTTTTTGTTGCTGACCCAGAATTAAAAAATCTGTTTTAATATTTTATCACAGATCATTTAAAACTGACACAAAAGTAGAGCTTAGCTTTTAAAAATTATCAACATATGATCAATCTTGCTTCATCTATACCCTACCCACTTTATTTTAAAGGTAAATCCATATATTACTGATGAAGATCAAGGAACACAGCCTTCAGTATGGATTGCATCTCAATGTCAAGAAAACAAAAATCCTCACCACTGGACCAATAAACAACATTCTTATCAACAGAGAAAAGATTGAAGTTGTCAAGGACTTCATTCTTCTTGGATCAACTATCAACATTCGCGGAAGCAGCAGTCAAGAGATCAGATGACGTATTGCATTAGGCAAATCTGCTGCACAGGAACTTTTTAAAGTGTTGAAGAACAAAGATTATCACCTTGAGGACTAAGGTACACCTGACCCAAGCCATGGTATTTTCAATAACCTCATATGGATGCAAAAGCTGGATGATGAATAAGGAAGATCGTAGAAGAATTGATGCCTTTGAATTGTGGTGTTGGAGGAGAATACTGCAAGTCCCATGGACTGCCAAAAGAACCAATAGATCTGTTTTGGAAGAAGTGCAGCCAGAGTGCTCCTTGGAGGCCAAGATGGCTAAACTCTGTCTCTCATACTTTGCACATATTGTAAGGAGGGAACACTCGCTAGAAAAGGATGTCATGCTGGGTTAGATAGAGGGTAAGAGAAAAAGAGGAAGACCTCCAACAAGATGGATCGGCCAGGTGGCATCATTGATGGCATCGAGTGTGGCGGCGGTAGTGAGGTTGACCCAGGATCGGACATTGCTTCGTTCTGCTGTGCATGGGGTCGCTATGAGTCACCTGACAACAAATCCATATATAGTATTTTATCTATAAACACTTAAGTATGTAACTGTAAAAAAAACTTTTGAAAAATCATTATCAATGAAAAAATATTCCTGAAACTACAAGTCTAACTGCCTCCTCGAATTATTGACTCCTTTTGACATGAGACCAGAACTGGATGGTGCCAGGCTACCAATACTGAACATTTTGATCAAGGACTCAGTAGATGAATCTTGATCAAATACTTTCCAATTCTTACAAAATCCAAACTTGAAAGCCGAGGAACCCCGTATCTATTACTTTGAGGAAATCTTTACACCTTAAACCAAAACTGTTCTCTGAAGTCATCTTTCAACTAAACAATAGTTTAGCTGTTGTTGTTACTGCTGTTCAGTGCTGTCCAATCAATCCCAACTCACAGCAACACTGTATAGGGTTTTCTGAGGCTGTTATCTTCAGGAGCGCAGAAAACTTCATCGTTTTCCCACAAAGCAACAGGTGGGCTTGAACCACCAACCTTGTGGTTAGCAGAACAGTGCT